TTCCCTTTTTTCTTTTCTTTTTAACTCTGAACTCTGAGTACTATTTAGAACTCATCAATGAGGTTAGCCTGTTATGCCGGAAAGTCTCTATAAAACATCAATCCTTGACATTTCCAGCACTTCCAGCAGAAACCAGAGTTTAGTCTTTGCTAGATTTCTTTAATTGCAAACAGCCAAAGGTGTTTTCTACCCAAAGAAACACCATTTAATTCCTTACTTGTGACCCAAGACATAGGCCAGAAATGCTGTCAGCAGCACTCCCCATACACCTCAGCAGGCATTTTACCCAAGATATACCATGCAGAGTCATGTCTGGGAAGAGCTGCTCTTTACTTACGCTCCTTTTCAAAAAGCTCTCGAACTCCTGGTAAATCCTTCGCAGCTCCAAAATATTTGTAACCTCTGTTGCCTGGAACTTCTTTCCCTTCATGATCTAACATTTTTGGTCCAATCCGCTGGAAAATAAACAGAGTTCAATGTTTAAAATGCTCTTCTAACACAATTAACCATTTTTAGGAGCTGAGTAACGATCCTCTCTAACAAACACTGCCCAGGTGATATGTGGATAACTCAATGCTGCACAGATTTTTCTCACTTGTAAGCAGAACACCATGTAGTACAATGTAGTCTACACTTACAGCATAATCAGGACCTCCCAGCTCCTTTATTCTGTATTCCCAATGTCCTTTCTCCCTCAGCAGTTTGTTTATTTCATCATTCAGGTCCCGAATTCTGAATTCACCCAATCCAGCTGTTACAGAGGAAAAAGACAGTAAATCAGGCAGCTCACGAGAAGCACCAGAGTCATTTCAGAACTTATGCAATGGAAACAACATAGATCACATGAAATGTGATTTTTCCTGTAACTGCTTAGGACTGGAGAGTCAAAAAAATAAAACATAACTAGGAAAATCTTACCATTTTGAATCTGTGCCACCTTCTTGGAGATCTCCCCAATGATCTAGTCAAATAAGAACACAGAAATTAATTCCTAAAGGAAACCAGTCTTCCTTGGAGGGTACAGAGAAGACAGAGCCAGACTAACTGAGAGGTGCATGACAACAGGATAAGTAGCAACAAACACAAGTTGAAACTGGGGGAATTCTGATTAAATTCAAGGGAGGGAGAGAAATCATTAAGAAGGTAATCAGACACTGGAACAGCAGCATCAGAAAGCTGTGAAATCTAAATCCCTGAAGATATTCAAAACTGCTGGACGTGCCAGGACCTGCTCTAAGCATTGAGCTGTATGACCTTCCAATCTAAATGGCTCTGTGATTAACTGTCAGGGTACTAAGGAAGCATGAAAATATTTGTAAGCAGCCTGTGTAAATAGGAATTGCTAAAGTTCCACCTCCTGTGGAAGAAGATCTATAGGTTGACATTACCTGTCGCCTCCATTTCTCAGCTTTGGGCAGTTCATTACACTCTGAGGCAAGGAAAGGTCTCCGTTCCTGTGTCACAGAAAGCCACACACCATCAAGTTTAACCAGGTTAAACATTTCACAGCATTTCATATAGATTTTATTGCTCAATTAATCCCAAATTATGCTACCAAGCTCTAGTGCCTTCTTCTCCCACTGGTTTTTAGTAAGTGGAAAACAGTGATTTACAGCCCTGTCGAATTAAACTACTCAAATCCACTTTATCCAAAACAACATCTGTCAACTGTTTTTTCAAAACACCCCACACTCCTCTCCAATACAAAAATTGTTCCATGTAGGACAGTGTCACCATTTCCAGCACACACCAACTAAATAAAATCTGCTGTCTTCCAAATGGAAGCTAAATTTAAGCCTTTCTTTCTCAATTCCTATTACCTAAATAATCTAATTTTTTCAAAGATGATTTTTTTTTTTTACTCTCTCAACTACAGTTTATCCAAAATTCCCTTTTCCCAAACTTCTTCACATTCCATTGACTTGCTTACACAAAGTCATATTTCACCTCACCTCTAGGGACTCTGCACAGTTCTTTTGCCCTTTCCCCACTTTTATCTATTAAAAACCTTTCCTCCACGTAATATATAAGAAACTATTCCATTTTCATCTCTGGCTGTTGTTCATGGAATCTTTTCCACAACACTTTCTCCAAACTGTTATTTTCTACTCTTCTGTTCCATATTGCTCATTTATAAACCTGTCCAAAAAGGCTACTGAAAACACTCTGATCCCCACATAAACATTTCTGCAATTTGATTTCTGATTCAGTGAAGAACATACAGGAATACCCAGAGGATCAGGGACTGATGGGATCAGGCTCTAAGGTTCTGTGTGGGTTTAGAGGTGCTATTTTAATGGATTTTTTAAATTATAAAATGAAGTCCATTTTTTGCCAGCCTTGCAGCAGTCACAAAACATTATGCATGACACTGAAGACCATCATGACCAGCAGCACAGCTGTCATGTGTTGGGCTAACAACATGCCAATGCTGTGTCTCATGGGAGTCTTGAGTTCACAGTGACCCAAAGGCCTCTGCTTCCCATTTACTCTTTGGTCACAACATCACCCATGAACAAGACTATAAGGATTTCTCTACTTCTGGGAAGGAATCCAAACAAACCTTGTGATTACTGTCAGTAAAACACAAGTATTTGTGCATCAATTTGTCTAAGTAGTTGCAGAGGGACATAACTTCAGTATCAAACATTATGTTCATTTTTTGCCCAGCATGCTGCCTCTATTTATAGCATTGTATAGTTTGGTTGGGGTTTCCCCCCAACTATTACATATTCAGCCTACATTACATAAAAGAACTAAGTGATGTTCAATTTGCACTTCTCAGCAACCAAGCCAACACACCCCTGACACATATGTATATATGTACATTTTTACACAGGTTGTTTGTTTAAGAAAATCCTGTTTACTATCCCTGGTTTGTGTAACTGAAGTAGAGTCAGCTGAAATATTCCCAGCTGACTGGTGTCAGGCTCCTGCAGGGCCCCTAGTCCTGGCCTGTGACCCAACACACAGCTCTGTGCTGGCCTGCATTCCCCTCTGAGGAGAGCTAATAAAGTTTCAGGGCTCTGAACCTTACCTTCACCTTGCCTTCCTCGAGCTGTGCTTGCCGGAACCTTGCCAAGGCCGTCCTGCAGGAAAGAAACGAAGCACATGGACTTTACAAATCCACATCCCAACAGGAACACATTTTGCTCTGGGTGTTTATTGTGGATTTAATTACAGCCTATAGAGTACAAAGGTTTGAGCATATTCTTTCACCACCTCTAGCTCTGCCAGCTTGTGACTTCCTCAACACTGGAAATCCTCAGTGGGTCATTTCTTAGATACATATAAATCCTGGTAAGCAGCTGATTATTCTTTCTGTTTAACATAGCATAGAATCACAGAATTTTAGGGGTTGGAATGGACCTGACAGATCACCTAGTCCCAGTCCCCTGCTCTGGGCAGAGACACCTCCCACCACACTAGGTTGTTCCAGGCTTTATCCAACCTGGCTTTGAGCACTGCCAGGGCTGAGGCACTCACCACTTCCCTGGGCAACCTGTTCCACCATGGTAGACATTTGCAGCAAAAGGACACTGACAGTTGTAAGCAGCAGCATTAAGTATGTGTATCTTAGCAGGGTATACATCAAAAGCAAGCAAAAAGCTCCATTAGGGAAGGCTGCAGTTAGCAATGAAGTCTATTACCATAACCAAAACATTCCCAAACTCTCACAGCTGAGCAGAGACTACACACACTCCATTCTGAATAGTTGTACTCATCAGACATTTAATGGTTACCTTATAAAGCACAGAACAACAGAGCACTTTAAAGCCCTTAACAGCACTCCTATACCCTGACCCTAAGCCCCAGGCTCTGTCTGCTGTTCAGAGCCATATCCAGAATCAAAGGTCTGGAGTTTTCATTCCAGTCCCAGAGACACTGGATGGGCTGACTGTAACCTCCTGGGGTGTCAGGCAGCCTCTCACTCAGGTACTGCTACAAGCTCAGATCTTAGGAAGAAGAACAAACATAAGAAAAATATTCTAAAAAGACTACCTGTGGGGGCCTCCAAACCTTCTGGTAAAGTACTTAGGACAGCCAATACAAAACCAAATGTGTTGAAAAGCTCTGGCTTAGCCCAATCAATGCTGATTCCTCTCTGTCCTGGCATCTCTGCTCCAGGAATGGGAACTGCCTAAAGCCACAAGGAGCCCTTAGAGTACATCTCAGTGTATTTACCAGCCGTCCCTCGCTCTAAGAGTCCCACACAGCTAACCCAGCACAGCTATGGAGCTCCACAGCACCAGAGATGGGTGTGCAGGGCTCTGTGACTCCCCACCCCACCGACTCCGGACGACACACGTGCAGCTAAGGCCCCACTAAACTCCCGGGCGCCCCACGGGAGACGAGCCGCAGCCTGAGCCCGGGGGACGCAGGAGAGCTGAGCGCCGCAGGGATGCTCGGGGGGCAGGACGGGCACTCACATGGCCTTCTCCGCGTTGCGAGCCTGAAACAGAGAGAACAGAGCGGCGTTAGGGGCAGCC